TGGCGGTAGTAACAGCATTAGTGGTAATAGAAGACATTAGGCATCGAAGATACGGCTTGAGAAAATATGATTTGGTGGGATAAAAAACCACTGACAAAGTATATCTGGTGTAAACAATAGGGTGAATATGAATATTTTATACGTGGAGAGCATAACTCTTACAAAAACAAACTAAATAGTGCTTAAGTACCATTTTCTCGACCAGCGATACTTACTAGTAAGTTAGAGGTAGGCTAGGAGTAGCTCAACTAATATGTAACATCGGTCCATGAATTCACTGGCTTTGTTTAGGCCACGTTGGCGTATGCAAACTACTTGGTTGGATCCTCTTGATGGTCGTAAACAGTGGTTAGAAACGGGTGATGACTCAGATTCGTCTACAATGGTTCAGATTCATCTTCCGATTTGAATTCCAGTATCCCTTTATATATACGTTTCCACTATGTCTTTGCAAACTATATTCCAAGGTTTAGCATTTCTTTTCGATCTCGTTTTCACCTCAGTTAATCAGATATGGGAACTTCAGTCAACATACATCTGAGCTAGGTTCTATGTTAGTGTCTGTCTCCCAGATAGCACAAACTAATGGATCAGTCCAAATGTTGAAGCCAAAATAGAAAACAGTGAAAGAAATGGTGATTTAAATTAAGGCTAAGAGTCAGATAACGACACCATCAAAAGCGGTGAACATAACTTTTAAAGAGACCGAATCCGTCCCTAGTTTGACCATTTGAAATATGATGAAATCAAACAACACTAAGCCAGCCAAACGTCAAGCACAGAATCGGCAGTCAGTCGGATCTCCGATCACGAATATACTACCAAATAATTTGGGAGTACATATCACGTGATTTATCCACCAATCAAAATGCGTCTTATACAATCTTAACACTATGCCAAACCAATGATGTTCAACCGGTATGAGCAGTCTAGCGTCCTTATTGGTCCTATGTCCTCCTAGCCCATCCACTTGAGTCCAGAACACAATACCAGCTTCTGCAATATGAATCGAATCGTTTATTTATCAATCAAACAGACCGCAATATACCATAAAATAGAAAATAACGTGTACACAAATAAGCCAAAAAGTGGGTGTGAACGCGTGAGATAGTAATTAATAGACTGATCATAGCTTAAGAACCGTAAGTCGTATAATAATAAATTATAGGTCAAAATAAAGCTTATAATAAGGGGAATATAAATATACATAATCTAATTGTTGATTAGTTATACAATAAAAATATTTATAGAATATTAGTCCATTAATAGTCCTTGGAAGTTACCCGTAATTTAATCTTCTCTGGGATAGATGTTATAGTGATTCAGTCGCCTAGAAACACGAGTTCTGATAACCTCATGAGTTTGAACCTAACACTTAGTTGGGTTTATTGTCTCGCTTCGTCCATAAATAGCTCATGTCATAAAAGATGATGAATCATAGCTGGTAATAAGGATCAACGTGCGCACCCTATGTCAAATCGGTCAGCAGGCTTCCTTGGCTAAAACCCTAGAGTCTCTTTCCATTGATGTATGCTGTGTCTCCGAAACACGCATACAGGATTCCAGTGTGGTCATTCACTTGACCTCACCTCGGCAAAACGGAGAGCCAACGAGATACACCCTCCGTGTATCTGGTGACCCGATGGCGAGTTCTCGTGGACTGGCAGGTGTAGGCATAGCACTAAGCATGAGGGCGGAACAAGCACTGCTAGAGTGGATCCCCGTCAACAGTCGTCTATGTGCTGTTCGGCTGAACGGCTACGTAAGAACTCGGAAGGATAGGGACACACGTCGTTGCCTTTTCGTCGTTTCTGCCTACGCTCCCACTGACTGCAGCTCAGATGATGTGAAAGATGAATTTTACAGAAAGCTGTCCGAACTTCTTCAGAAAGCTAAACGCTCAGACATAGTACTCGTAGGGGGTGACTTTAATGCTCAGATAGGTAGCTTAAACCAAACAGAAAGGCATTTAGGTGGATATTTTAGTATTCCGGCACAGCGAACAGATAATGGTGACCGTCTGCTGCAACTGTGCTCAGACAATCGTTTATTTTTAGCAAACACAAATTTTAAGCATAAGGAGAGACATCGTCTAACATGGCGACCCCCTACACCAAACCAACGATGGACTCAAATAGACCATATTGCCATCAGTCATCGTTGGAGAGGGTCGGTAGAAGATTGTCGCTCATTCTGGAGTACCTGCTTGGACTCCGACCATGCCCTAATACGGGCACGCATCTGCTTGCGCCTCACTGGACGCAAAAAAGCCACATTAAAAAGACCCATTAGAACTGGATTGAGTAACGAGAAAACCAAAAGTAGGTTCCAGGAACAACTGAGGTCACACTTAGGTAGTTCTGAAGACGAGGCTGACCCAGATGTTGCTTGGAAGGGCATACAATCAGCTGTGGAAACAGCAGTGACATCTATTAGTGACTTAAACCACAGAGTTACAAAGAACCAGTGGATTTCTTCAAAGTCTATCACACTGATGGATTCTCGCAAACTCGTCCCATCAGGTTCCGAACATGATGAAGAGCGTAAACAAATCAGATCTAGGTTAAGAAAAAGTCTAAGGAACGACCGTGAGCAGTGGTGGGCAACGAAAGCAAAAGAGATGGAAAAGGCGGCGACTATAGGGAACACAAGACAGCTTTACAGACTAATAAAAGAAACTGGAATTAATAAGTCAAGTGTAAGTGAGATTATTTCGGAAAAAGACGATACCCTCATCTGCTCCCAGTCCAGACGTTTAGAACGATGGGCGGAACATTTCAGAGAACAGTTCAGCTGGCCTTCAGCTACTCTACAACTACCCTCCATTCCCAGACAGTGTGAATGGAACATTGAAGTAGGTCCCCCAACTCTTGCTGAAGTTCAAAAGGCTATAGTTAATCTGAAACGAGGAAGGGCAGATGGACTGGCTCCAGAGGTCTTTAAGGATGGTGGTCCAATTTTAGCGATTAGGTTGACTAATATTTTAGCTAAGATCTGGGAATTAGACGTTATCCCATCTGACTGGTCACAATCACTTATCGTCCCAATATATAAGAAAGGGTCAAAATCATCCTGTGACAACCACAGAGGGATTAGTTTAACTAATATGATATCTAAAATACTAGCCTCGATAATTATCAGACGCCTAACTAAGACTCGTGAACTGCAAACACGAGAGAACCAAGCTGGCTTTAGACCTGGTCGTGGCTGCATCGACCACATATTCACCATTCGTCAGGTTCTAGAACACAGGCATACTTATCGGCGTCCGACAATGGTGGTCTTTCTTGACTTAAAAGCAGCATTTGACTCTGTAGACCGCGAGACTCTGTGGCAGTGTCTGTCATTGAAAGGCGTACCTCAGAAGTACATAAACCTTGTGAAGGCTCTTTACTCGAACACTACTAGTCGAGTCAGAGCTTATGGCGAACTGTCATCTACTTTTGCAACCTCAAGTGGTGTCCGTCAAGGCTGTCCACTTTCCCCATTTTTGTTTAACTTCATCATAGATCTACTGATGGAAATAACGTTCTCGTCGACTGAATTCTCGGGTATTGATCTCCATCCAGGAGGTCCACTTATCGACTTAGAATACGCAGATGACATAGTCCTGTTTGGTGAAGACGCTGACAAAATGCAGAGTCTTTTGGTAGCACTAAGCAACAATGCCAGAATGTTTGGAATGCGCTTCTCTCCCTCTAAATGCAAGTTGTTGCTTCAGGACTGGTCTGCGTCAACACCTGAACTAAGGATAGGGAGTGAAGTAGTCGAACGCGTTGACAACTTCACTTATCTTGGAAGTCTGATCAGCCCTAATGGGTTGGTGTCTGACGAAATCTCAGCACGGATTCGAAAAGCTCGTTTGGCTTTTGCCAACTTACGTCACCTTTGGCGAAGGCGAGATATCCGTCTATCAATAAAAGGACGAGTATACTGCGCGGCAGTCCGTTCTGTTTTAATTTACGGCAGCGAAACATGGCCATTAAGAGTAGAAGACACTCGTAAGCTATTAGTATTTGACCACAGATGCCTTAGAAATATTGCTGGCGTCTGCTGGGATCACCGGGTAAGTAATAGTGAGGTTAGACGCAGGGTATTAGGGAATGATGGTAAATCAGTTGATGAGGTTATGAATCTTCATCGACTGAGATGGTTGGGCCACGTATTACGTATGCCTGAACACCGATTACCACGACGTGCAATGCTATCCGGTATTGGAGATGGTTGGAAGAAAGTTAGGGGCGGCCAAACCAAAACGTGGCATCAGTGCTTGAAGTCACTAACTTCTAGTCTGAGCCATGTTGGTAGATGCAGACTACTTGGTTGGGGTCCGCGTGACTTTCGTAACCAATGGTTGGAGACTCTTGGTGACATGGCTCAGAATCGATCACAATGGCGTCGGTGTATACACTCCCTGTCTTCCCTTAAACTAAGAGATTAAAATCGCTTCATATCTTTCTTTCTACAAACCAATTCTTTCTTCTTGTACTATATCTCTATATGCAATCTTTCTCTATATATTACCACCTTTGACCTAACCACTGCTATGAATCCGGTGTTCATCTTGTTGTGCTGATGCGGTATGGCAACCTGGACCGATGCACATATGTGCCTGGTCCTACGTTGTAACTGACTGACTGACATAAGGATCAACGTTTTGCTAATTTTTTCAATTTTTCTCACTAGACCGCTTAACGGAAAAATGCATCGCTAACTGTAAGTATAGGACACAATTTGAAATACTATAGGCTCCGTTGTCTTGTGGATCAGACCTTTAGGCCAAAGGCTCCGAGTGTGATCTCCTAAGAAAACCACGTGCTTCGGTTTGGGCACCCGGGAAGTACCACAGCCCTCACACAAATCAAATGAGATTTGTGTGGCGCATATGTATGTGGTAACCCCTTGTACTAATATCTGTGTTCAAATAAATAAATTTCCTAATCGATAAAGTCTTCTCTTTCAGGTTTCGTACTACTATCTTTTTATTCTAAATCCTTGTTATGTCTACGTTACCTGAAGGTTGGGTATCTCGAATCAGCTCTAGTAGTGGTTTGTTTCTGGTTCCTCTTTATAACTAAACAAATGTTTTATGAAGGAAAACCATACTATGTTAATACAGTTACAAATGAGTCACAATGGGAATATCCTCAGCATCCAGTCATATCCACAAATAAAGTTCGATGCTTACATTTACTAGTGAAGCATAATGAGTCTCGACGTCCCTCATCTTGGAAACAACAGAACATCACTCGATCTAAAGATGAAGCCTTAGATTTAATAAAAAGTAAGTTTATCACTACTTTTTGTGCACAACACTAAACTATATATTGACTTCATACATTTCTCTTAAGCTTGATGTATGTGTTGCATTTAACCAATATTACTAGATATTGAAAATCATCTAATTAAATGTTCATCGGACATGATAAACAGAAAGTGAACAGGAGTCTGTAGAAGAGCTTTTACTGTTTTCAATAAAAGGTCAATATGGAGACCAATAATGGTCAAACAAACATTTTTAATCTGTTAATATTCCGTTAAAATTAAAAACTCAACTAAATTAGATACTAAAAAACATGTGGTTGGAGTTCAAAGGGTTTACAGGTCACCAATGTATGGTAAATATGGTTTTTGGGGTTAGATATTTCAAAGAAAGAGTGTATCGTATTAATAAATTGGCTATCCTTCCTCATAACTAGAAATTCATGCTTTCTGATATATGTTTATATATATACTTTTAAAGCTTAACGATTGTGTATTTTTGGGGGATTATGTGCTTCTTAGACTACAATAAAGGATTAAAATGACCACTGAATAAATTGGTGTAAAAAATAATTCTGAATGATGAGAGAGGCCAGCGAAAGAGATATCGGTATCTTTTCTCTCATTTCACATCAAACTATTCTTATACAAATGCCAAGAATTTCTCTGTGATTGGAGAAATGTATTCAACGGAAATCTAAGACTTTATTTGTTTTTATCAATCTATACTAAATTAACTGAATATAGTCGTCAAGATACACAAATGAACTGATCCTGAACCCTACATAACTAGGAAAAAGAATATTTTCTCAAGTGGAGAAACATCTATTTGAAAAGTCACGAACCTGGAATGTTTTAGTTCCTAATTCAGTTATTTTTGGTCAATATAAATGAATTCAATGTTCAAAATATGCATCCCTGTTTCACTGCAATTTATGTACAAATATAGAATCGATTAATGTTTATAATTTACACTGAGTTACCAATGGGTAGTAATTGATGTATTATTGTTTAGTCCTGGGCTTTGATTTCAAATTCTCTTGACCTGATTTCAATGTAGCCATTAGTTTAATTAAACATAGTGCACACCATTTTTAAGACGAGGCGTTTGGAAACAGTCGCCAGAAAGCCATCTCTGACCCCTAGATTTCTTGTTCATTGCAAGTCGGGAGCTAAGACGTACCTGTTGTGGTGTTTCCTGTGAAATATGGACTCACTTCACTCAACCCTTTAATCAGAAACATTCCCACTGAGATATTCAGCTTATAGCTGAACTGGCGTTGTTGTAAAATTGAAGTGTTCTCATTGACTGATTACAGTTTAGTTTGCCTAATATAGTTCGTACTTATTCTTCATATTCACAAGTGTGTTTCTTCTTTCCTCTCGTCTTTTCTCTTTTAGAATACAAACAACAAATTGAAGCTGGTGAATATACATTTGAAGAACTTGCCCGAACTGAAAGCGATTGCAGTTCAGCTCATTCTGGTGGTGATTTAAATTTCTTTAGTCGTGGTCAAATGCAAAAGCCATTTGAAGATGCTGCATTTAAATTAGAAATTGGTGAAATGTGTGGTCCTGTATATACAGATTCTGGAATTCATTTAATCAAACGAATTGCATAATAATACAATAATAGGCAATTAAATTGAATATAAAACTTGAAATATTTCACCCTTTTGCATTTGATTTAAATAAAAGATCACGTTTATTAATAGTACTTGATTTCCTTTCTTTCTTAAAAGTCAGTAACCCAGTATTTCGGTTAACTGTTTATTTATTGTAAATTTTCTACGTTTTTGGACTGCAGTGGTTAATAGTGATTTGGGAATTACTTTTGCATATCGTTTCATGATGTTTTGTCTTATGTAAGTTGGATTGTCTATTCCTCAAGTTTTTATTTATTTATAGCATAATGCTAGATAATATCGCATCAACAGTGAATGAGAACTCTTTACTTTTCTCTATACTGAAAGAGTTGATTATACTACAGTATTTTATTATAATTAATGTTGCAGATCAACATCTTAGTACAAAATATACTTTGAGTAGAGACTCAAGGCAACATAGAACTAGGAATTTAAGAGTAGATTACACGAGATTGGGACCTGTGACTGGTTAAAACACCGAGTAACAACTCAACATTAGTCTTGATTGTAAATCGACTTGAGTTTCTGTAATCCATCTAACAAATTATATATGTGAATTATCCATCCAACTAATCAGTCATCAGCAACGTAGAATCTGACACACGCATATTTATAGGTTCAAGTTGTCACACTACATTGGTGCGATTAGATGAAATTATCAATATAATTTCCAGAGTAGTAGAGCCCCCGAATGCCCTGGTACGACCGACAGTGGGCACAGTCAGCTCTCCCTCTCGAAATGCTCTCACATGGCCACGCGTATATAGTCTCTGCCAGGGAAGTCCTACTCACTGCCTTCTGGTGGCAGGGGTGTTGTTTACGAAATTGAGATTACGTAAAGCGAATGTCCGGCGCTTTTGCCAGGTTGGTGGACACCGTGAGTTCACCTAGGGGAGTTGGAAAACCGTGATTTCAAACCAATGGTGCACATGGGCTCCAGGATCCTGAAGGAACAAATGGCGTATGAACCAATCGTTGGTCACCGGCTATCATGGGACTGCATCTCCTAACGTTGCTCCACTGCCTTGTGGATTAGACCTTTAAGTCGAAAGCTCGGGCTGTGGCTCCCTAAGAAAACCACGTGCTTCGGTTTGGGCACCCAGGCAGTATCACAGCTCTCACACATATCAAATGAGATTTGTGTGGCGCATATGTATCCGGTGACCCCTTGTACTAATATCTATTTGTTCAAATAAATAGGTAGAGTAGTAGAAATACTAGTAATGTTAGCCTTAGTAGAAAAGATTAGGCACAGGAAACATGATTTATGAAGAAAATGAATTCTCAGGAGTACAATGTAGCTTTAAAATTGAGAATCTAAGAGAAGACAAATTGAGCGGGTCTATGGTGGAGAAGATTTGTAGCTCAGGTGGATGATTTTGATGGAGTTTTGTTCTCTGAGCTGGATGGTTTGGTCGTGGGGCTTCCATCGTTCTTGTGAACGACATCATCAGCACAAACTTCAGATAGAAGTGAAGTGTTCGAATTTCTCCATATGCGTTTCACAGCTTGTTCTGTACACCTTGACATTGATTGGTTCTTATTGACACTGTTTACTTCTTTGTTTTGGTTGTCTCCCATCGGTTTGATTTTTGTTCCTATATCTGTGCATAATTTTCCTGATTGGTTGATAAATTGGATCGATATCAATTTGCTTGTTGATTGCTGATTGACCTGAGTGCCAGGCTTCTTAGAATTCTCTGGTGGTTTTGGAATTTCCTCTGTCCAAGATTTCCACATTTCGAATGAGTGTCCGCAGTTGTCCACGTGTATTGATATAAGTGAGAAAGTATCATGGCGTTTGACTGCTAATTGGTTTTCATGTGGCGAGGTGAAGGGGGCGTCCGCTTTGTCCGATGTAGTGTTTTTCTCAGTTGGCACAATTTATTTTGTAGATGATGCTAGGTCGGTAACCATTTCAAGTATTTATCTGAGACTAATCATAAAAAATAGTTTCCTACCCCGTATTTATTTAACAGAAAGCATTTGATAATGCTTTTAGGATTCCATAGAATTAAGGTTAGTTCGGTCAAGTAAAGGATGAATGTGTTATAAATTTCTTATGAATTCAAAGACTTGTATTGTGAGTTCGAATTCCGGCGCTTTAACCGGATTCCAAATCAATGGTGCACATGGGCTCCAGTATCCTGCGGGAACGAATGGCGTATGAACCAATCGTTGGTCACCGGCTACCATGGGACTGCATCTCCTTACGATGCTCCACTGCCTTGTGGGTTAGACCTTTAGGTCAAAGGCTCGGGGAGTGGCCCCCTAAGATAACCACCTGCTTCGGTTTGGGCACCCGGGCAGTATCACAGCCCACACACAAATGATGAACTCTTTATGTCTATGGAAATTACTTTTGTCGCTTTGAAAAACAAACAATTGATTCAGATTATTATCATTACAATTATTGTCATTATTAATACTAATATTATTATTACTACTATTATTGTCATTATTGTTATTATTATCATTATTATTATTATTTTCCACATTATTCACCCTCTTTTATACTTATACAGCGGCTCGTCTTTGGTGGAATTCCGACTGTATCTAAACGTTCTCGAGTCACTGTCCGGTTGAAAATTGTATGTTACCACCGAATACGAGGACTGAAGCAGATTTTCTGAAACCACGTGCACCATTCAAACTGGCTGCCTTCAACGTTCGCACATTTATGCAGGTCGGACAACAGATAGGGCTGGCTATGTCTTTGGAAAGTCTTAATATCGACGTGTGTTGTCTATCCGAGACCCGTATTCAAGACTCTGGCGAAGTACTACAAATTCGATCTCCATCTGTCGCTTCGAAAAGCTTGTTTTACGTGCGCTTATCCGGGGACCCTGTGGCATCTTCGTCTGGTCTTGCTGGCGTTGGTGTCGCACTAAGCGCTAGAGCTGAGGCAGCACTAGTCGATTGGATCCCCATTAACAGTCGGTTATGTGCTGTTAGATTAGAAAGTTCCATCAAAGTGAGAAGAAATCGGCGTGAGAAACGATGTCTTTTCGTCATCTCCGCCTATGCCCCGACAGATTGCAGCCCGGATGCAATCAAGGATGAGTTTTACCACCAGTTATCAGTTCTTCTCCAGAAAGTGCGTTCGACAGATATTGTAGTACTAGCCGGAGACTTGAATGCTCAGGTCGGGCGTCTAGGCACAGAAGAGAGTCGTTTAGGTGGCCGATGGGGACTCGTTGGTCGCAGGTCAGATAACGGGGACCGTCTACTGCAACTTTGCACAGACCACAACCTGTTTCTGGCTAGCACTAACTTTCGGCACAGTCATCGCCGATGTGCCACCTGGCGTCCTCCCTCTGCATCTCAAGCCTGGACTCAGATTGATCACATCGCGATCAGCTACCGCTGGCGTGGTTGTGTACAAGACTGCCGCTCCTTTTGGAGTACCTATCTGGACTCTGACCATGCCTTGGTCTGCGCCAATCTTGCCTTACTTTTCAGTGGACAACGAAGTGAACGCCATCAACGGATTGATGTTAGCAAGCTGGTTGCAACTTCTGTTGCAAGTAAGTATCGAACCGAGCTAGCCTCTAGGCTAGCTACCACTCCACCGAAAAGTATAGATGAGCATTGGTTGCAATTGCATGACGCCATGAAAATGGCGGGAACAGTCAGTTGTGGGTTTGCGAAACGTCCCGCTTTTAAGCACTGGGTTTCTTCTGGTTCCTTACAACTCATTGAAGCCCGTCGGTCTACTCCGGGTGACCGTGAGTTTGACCATAAACGAAGGATGTTACGTAAGGAAATTGGGCAAAGCTTGCGTAAGGACCGAGAAGCCTGGTGGTCGATGCGTGCTAATGAGCTGGAAGCAGCAGCTGCATCTGGTAACTACCGGAAGCTCTTCCAGCTCATCCGAGCCACTGGCAGCAAGAAGTCTGGTGTGAGTGAAACAATCTGCGAGGATGATGGGATGCCAATCACTAACATCCATCGACGTCTTGGACGATGGGCAGAATTTTTCGAAGGGCAGTTCAACTGGCCTGCTGCTCCGGCAACATCGGTCAGACTGTCCTGCCCTCCATGGCCGGTGACGACTGATCCACCAAATGAGGAGGAAGTCCGCAAGGAACTCCAACTCTTGAAGCGTTACAAATCACCTGGCCCAGATGACTTACCTCCGGCTCTTTTTAAAGATGGTGGTGACTTTTTGACTAAGGAATTGACGACGTTGTTTACAAAGGTTTGGGAACTAGAGAGTGTACCAACGTCATGGAATGAGTCGATAGTTGTCCCTATCTTTAAAAAGGGTTCACGTCGTTCCTGTAACAACTATCGGGGGATAAGTTTACTTCCGATTGCGTCCAAGCTATTGGCTTCCGTCATTCTTCGTAGGTTGTTCAAAACCCGAGAAAGATTGACTCGCGAGGAGCAGGCTGGGTTTCGTTCTGGTCGAGGATGTATTGATCATATCTTCACCCTCCGCCAAATGTTAGAACACCGCCATACTTTTCAAAGGCCAACAATCGTAGTGTTTCTTGACATCAGGGCTGCCTTCGATTCGTTGGATAGGACTGTTCTCTGGGATTGTCTATTGAAGAAGGGTGTGCCTGAGAAGTTTATTAACATCCTAAAAGCCCTGTATAAAAACACCTCAGGCAGAGTGAGGGCATACAACCACCTCTCTCCATTGTTCCATTCGAGCAGTGGGGTTAGGCAGGGTTGCCCAATCTCACCATTCCTCTTCAACTTTGCCATCGATGACATTCTGGAAACAGCTCTGATGAATGTAAGTAATGGTGGTGTGGATCTGTTGCCTGGAGAAAGACTTCTCGACCTTGAGTATGCGGACGATATTGTCTTACTGTGCGATAATGCCCAAGGCATGCAATCCGCACTTAATCAGTTGGCAATCAGTGTCCGTAGGTATGGTATGTGCTTTGCACCTTCGAAGTGCAAAGTACTTCTACAAGACTGGCAGGATTCTAATCCTGTACTCACCCTGGACGGTGAGCAGATAGACGTAGTTGAGAAGTTCGTGTATCTGGGTAGCTGCATAAGTGCTGGTGGGGGTGTGAGTGATGAGATCAATGCACGAATAGTGAAAGCCAGAGCGGCTTATGCCAATCTGGGCCACCTTTGGCGCCTTCGTGATGTTAGTCTGGCTGTAAAAGGTCGGATCTACAACGCGTCGGTGAGAGCAGTTTTGCTCTATGCTTGTGAAACCTGGCCTCTCCGAGTTGAGGACGTTAGACGACTCTCTGTGTTCGATCATCGCTGTCTCCGAAGGATTGCTGACATTCAGTGGCAACACCATGTCAGTAATGCAGAGGTTCGGCATCGTGTGTTCGGGCACAGAGATGATAACTCAATTGGTGTCACCATCTTGAAACACCGACTTCGGTGGCTTGGACATGTTCTCCGAATGTCGTCCCAGAGAATTCCACGTCGTGCATTATTTGCCGACTCTGGGACTGGTTGGAAGAAGCGGAGAGGTGGTCAGTGCATGACATGGTGTCGTGGCATGAAAGAAAGCTGCAAAGGACTGGCTTGTGTTGGTCCTTCACGACTCCCTGGTTGGGGTCCGAGAGATGGTGCTACACAGTGGCTAGAGACGTTATCAGATATGGCTCAGAATAGAAGCCAGTGGCGATCCTGCTGTAACCTTCTTTTACTTTCTTCATAAAAAGTGGTTGTGTCTCCCTTACCTGAAAGATTTCTTCTGATTGTACCTCTTCGTCATTACTCTCTTTTTCTTTTGCGTTCCTTAGTTTTTTTTTTCTCTTTCTACTTCTCTTCGAATTCCCATTGTTTTGTGTGGCGCATATATATTGGCGCTCTCTTGTACCAATATTTATGTGTTCAAATAAATAAATAAATAATCTGTAAGAGGTGAATTCAAACCCCACAAAGAAAACTAGTAAGAACATGATAAATCACTTTAAATGACCTATTTCTATCTACTACATGACTGCGATCGATCAAGTGAGGGTACGCTTTCCTAACAATGAAGAGAGATGTTCACTAACTCGTTGGATCAGTTTTTTGTTTGTGCACCCTGTATAGCTTTCTCCATAAGAGCAGCTGAATTCGTAGATACACATAGATGTGGCAGAACCAGGTAACTTCTCCTTTAGTTGAGGAATCACCATAGGTAGGATGGAGAACGATAGACATTAAACGTCCTCTTCATTATCCTGGTCATTTTATCTCGTAGCGTATCACCAGCTATATCCGTTGAGTTGTAGCTTCAGGAAGAGAGGTTTCTTACTAACCGTTGATGCCACTATCTTCCTGTTGGTTGCATGGAAGTATTTTTTCAGAAAGCTTTATGGATAACTTATTTCAATCGACATATTATGAATACGCCCTGGTTTCTTGTTTGTAGTATCGTCTGAGCGAACCTTCCTAGCTCTGCTTGCCCACGAATGCCCTGGTACGGCCGAGAGTGGGGTGTTCAATGAGATCCAGTTATAGAAATTTGTATATTGACCATTTCGATAAATAGTTTCTTAAGGAGAATCAATCAAAAGTTTGTGAGCTTCAAATGGTTTAAAAATTTAGCAATTTATATATGAACTCTGTGTACACAGACAGTAAGTACAACTTGTAATTATGCATATCTTTCCTACAACTTCTAGTACATCTTAGTATGATTAATAAACTAAGAGTATTTTATAATAAACTGGCTGGATACCATCAGCAATAGCCGACTGTAATAGAAGAAAAACCAGCTTCAAGTTTGAGGAAATTAGGAAAAGATTTTGGAAGTGAATAGGGTATACATTACAGAGGCAGACCCTCACTTGGAATCCTGACGTGAAACGGATAAGTGGAAGGCCAAAGAACACACTGCATCGAGAATTTGAAACAGACATGAAAGAATGAATAGCAACTGGAAAGGACTTTCCAGGACAGAGTTGGATGAAGAATGCTGATGATAGGCATATGCCCCTCCATGAGGGTCAACAGGCGTAATGAAGTAGATAAGTACATTTGTTAGTAGCTTCACAATGAATTGTCTACGTTCAAGTGAGAATTCTTGGCAGCGGAAGTTTAACCGTGTCAAGAGTGAAAGACAATTACATAGTGTATTACATAACTGTTGCTTTATATTCCTTATTTATCAAAGTTGGATATGTGAAGCAATAGGTGTGAACTTATATCAACTCTCATAAAATTCACTTTTGCTCACAGTTAATGTTGTTAGACACTTCGCTTAGCCGCGTTTTGATTTCACTATAAATACGCCTCTGTATACGCTCACATACACACACATATAAGCCTCTGTGCTTCCATTCGCTCGATGTGTTTTGTAACCTTATTATCTGTGCTATCCGACAATAAACTATAGTAGACGTTTATTGATACCTTTCGAATTTATACACCATTGGGATATATTTACTAACGGTTATCAAGCTGATTGTTAAACGAGGCGAAGCCACTACAAACTTACTGATTGAAGGGTTAAACGATCACTATGTGACTTGAAAGTTGAGAATTCAATCCCTTATGGGAACATTGGTAGATGTCTATGAGAAGTCCCATTTTGTAAGTGAGTAGTTACCTACCTATTCCTTGTTTTCACTAGTACTTTAATGGAAGTTATTTAATGCCGAAAGTAAATTTTAGTTTTAACTAAAACACTGGTTTACGGTAGTAATGTAACAATAATGAAAATAGATGATTTTCACTGAAAGGTACTTTTAAGATTTGTACATTCAAAAAGACTGTTTTCTTCTTCCCTGAGTTTATACGACCTTCTCTTTAAAAGGTTTTATTACATAATTACTACTAAATTATCTACCAGTGAACTTATTTATACTGTACGGAGCTGAAACTTAGATAACTATTACAACTATCATCAAGAAGGTACAAGTATTTATGAATAGTTGTCTTGAAAGATACTCGATATGTATTGGCCGGATACCATCAACAACAGCCTGCTGTGCGGGAGAACAAACCAGCTCCCAGCTGAAGAGGAAATTAGGAAAAAACGATGGAAATGGATAGGACATATATGATGGAAATCATCAAACTGCATCATGAGACAATCCCTAACCTGAAATCCTGAAGAGAAGTGGAAAAGAGGAAGGCCAAAGAACATATTACGTCAGGAAATAGAATCAGATATGAAAAGGATGAATAACAACTGGAAAGAGCTGGAAAGGATTGCCCAGGACAGCGTCGGATGGAGAATGCTGGTGGGTGGTCTATGCTGCTCCACATGGAATAACAGGCGTAAGTAAGTAGGTATGAACTTATTTAACTGAACTCTTATTTTAAGCTCCATTATAATTATGTTATTATGCGCAATAATCTGTAGGAACATTCTATCAAATAGGATGTAAGCTCTCCCTCTCGAAATACTCTCATATAACCAATCGTATACAACCACTGTCAGGGAAGTCCTACTCAATGCGTTCTCACGACATTACTGTTATTTACATAATCGAAAGAACGAAAAGTAAATATCCGGTGCTTTAATCAGGTTGGTGAACCCTCCGTATCCATCTAGGAGAGTTGGAAAACTAGAAGGGAAATTCTATAGTAAATCTATATATATATATATATATATATATATATATATATATATATATATATATATATATATATATATATATATATATATATATATACAAAGTTTTAAAACAAATTTTCTAATGTATAAAAAAGTTTTTGTTTTGTTTTCATTACATCACAGATAATAATTAATTCAATGTAGTTCTAGAGAAAAAAAAGTAGAAAATAATCAATTATGAAATGATCAGTTCAACTAAATACATTTTCATCCACTCCCTCCCCCTCCTCCTCCTCCTCCTCTTGTTCATTCTCTTCATCCTCCCATGGGCGCCAATATTTATTCATTCTTATTTCTTTTTGTAAATTATTGATTTTTTGTATTTTATTGTATTCATAGAATTGATTATTTTGTTTTATTGATTTATTGATTTTTGATTGCTCAAATGAATGAATGAATTGATTATTATTATTATTATTATTCAATAATTTTAATCCTTTCCTTTTATTGATTTTTATTTTCATTGTTGTTATGGCTGTTGTTAATGGTGATGAGATTGGCGCTGATAATTTCATATTTAAATTTTGATTTCTATTAAAATTTTCAATATTTTCTATGATTTCAATTAATTTATCTAATAATTGTATATCGGACATCTATTGTTTCAAAATAATAAAAAAATATAATATGAAAATTAAATAAAAGAAAAGAAATAAAAAGTTGAAATCTAATATCAACAGTTGAGATCATGATTAGTCAGTTGAAGCTAGACCACCATGGAATACCTGGAGACAGTAGACGATTGTTTCATTCTGGTATGAGACTTCATAGTAGTGCTCATTCACGATTCGATTAAAAGACTTGTCAGTCACGCACGCGAACGCTTAATCTCTAGATTGCTGAGCCGGCCAATATTCAACGGTGTTAATGTCTAACTTTAATCCATCTCTGAAATTGAGCCACCGTCCATCATTGCGTAGGTGTGCGAGATCGATAGGTTCTGAATTCAAATCCCTTGCGGCGGAATCGTGGATACGTACTGCTGTGGAGTGCCACAACAGAACGAAGCGGACGTCTAGTGCTTCCAGGTTTTCAATGGTGGTCTAGCTTCAACTGACTCATGATTTCAATCTGTGAAAATTTCTAAAATCTCCACAAACCCCTTCTGATAATAATCATCTGCTCACTAGTGACTGACTTCAAGAGATACTCCTGGAGTTCTAGTGGGAAGCCGTTACCAGTGGAGTTAAACCAGGTCTGTTGTCAGATATCAGCTCACTGAAGACAATGGTATATGGTGGCGCAACTTCGTGGATTGGTTGAAGTTAGACATTAACACCGTTGGATGCAGGCCGGCTCAGTGGTCTAATGGCTAAGTGCTCGCGCGCGAAGCCAGTAGATCCTGGGTTCGAAGCCCGCGGGGTGCAGGATCGTGGATGCGCACTGCTGAGGAGTCCCATACTGGGACGAAACGGCCGTCCGGTGCTCCCAGGTTTTCAATGGTGGTCCAGCTTCAACTGACTCATGATTTCAATCTGTGAAAATTTCTTAAATCTCCACAAACCCCTTCTAATATTAATTTATACACCAACGGAAGTCAGATATCAACATTTAACTAGTTTTGTTAACAGAAATGAAAAGTGTAATTAACCTATTTTTTAAAATCAGTTAGTCCCTTTGATAAACTTTGATAATGCCATGAGAAGGTGAAGGTTATCGGAATTATGTAATATGTTTGAGCAATACATTTCGAACAATCTCATTACACATAGACATGTTAATGACATTTATATGTGTAAACTAAAAGGTCAACTAGATAGATTAAAGGTAACAATGAAAAATAAAGTACGCAAAAACGATTTACATATCAAATTCACTTGGTGTTGTTTACTTGTATGTTCCCATTGTTATTTAGGACTGCAATTGATCAGTCTCTTGTTGGCATATGTGCATCATGTGAGGATTGCCTCGATATTGCCACAAGCCTGTTAAGCAAATATGGATAGTGGCTAGTAATGGAATTCAAGACGCGCGTTTCATCCTATTTGGGACTCGTCAGTTTATATGTATACGCGGAAATATGTACATAGGGAGGTGTAATTGTGATCTGTAAATTAGGGTGACGGAGCACATACTTAAATGGCTACAGAATGCAAATGAATTCCAATAGTCAAATAAGATCACAGGATAGACAGACACCTTTCTCTATTGAGAAATATTCGGTTGGGACTGGTCATAAGGTTATTATCAAGTCAGCATTTGTAGTGTTGTACAAAAGCCTTCAAGGGTATATACTAAGGTTTATTGAGGCCTTGGCTATACGGAAACTGAAACCTTTTTTATGCGTTCAAAAACAATTTGTCCCTACCCTGGTAATACTGATTTATTATCCAAAGTGGTTATCACATTGTTTTTGTTTACTTTATTTTTTATTCTTACGACTTACCTTTAATCTGTCTGGTTGACCTTTTAGTTTTCATATGAAAATGTCTTAACAAGTATATGTGTAACCTTTTTTATTGTTCATTTAATTAAGATTACAATTGAATGAGCTCATCGTTAAGTACTTGTTCCTACTTATTTTCATAGGTTAGAATATGGATTTAGAAAAGGCAACCAGTTAAGATCACTATTCCTTATCCAATATAATGAAGTTTACCTAAAAGTCAGGTGCATAGAATTATACTTAGTTAATAAGTTTAAGTATTCAACTATCAGATGGTCGTTTGAGGTAGTCAACAGGAAACCCTGGACCCGGGTTTCGTGCTATTTGGCATTCGTCAGCAAGGTGTGCCTGTAATCTTAAGGGAACTGATGCACGCCGATGGATTCGATCTAAGGTCACCCACTTTCACAATCAGAAACGTTACCACTGAGCTATCCGAGTCACGACTGGTTTCTTGTAGGACTTACATATATTTACAATTGATTGATCAATGGGTGGTAATCAATGTCATGTGTATCAATTCCTTCTTAGTGCAGATCAAATACTATCGACTAAGTAGTAATGTGGCCACTAGTCTAGGTGACTCGACATTGCGTACACTATATTGGGATGAGATGGTGGTTGGAGGTATTTAACAAGAAACCCTAAACCCGAGTTTCATACCATCAATTACATAACCACGAACTCATTCTGTAATTCACCCGATTTAAACTAAACAACAAAGTTGGTCATTAAAAAGAGTACAATAATGAACTAACCTTTTCACCACCAAGAAATGAATGTATTCGATCATATTCAATTCTTTCTAGACGTCGACGATATTGTTCTATTGATGCTTTTGTAAATTTTATCTAATGAAGTATAATCAAGATAGTTTCATTATAAGCCTTATATATATTTATATACAGTGAAGAGTTCTTAAATTGTGTTTTTTTCTCTCTCTCAAATATAGACATCGTTAGTTATTTGAAACATATTTAATCATCATAATACTTGAACATTTAATAGTTGAATTCATGAGTCAACTGAAGCTAGACCATCATGGAAAACCTGAAAGTACTGGATGGCTGTTTCATCCTAGTATGGGACTCCTCAGCAGTGCTCATCGAGGATTCTACCTTGCGAGATTTGGAAAATAGCAACCTAGTATTTAAGTAGTATATCAAAATTAGTGATATTAAACCGCTTCGAAAATCTAATGATGCTGTTAAGAAAATATTGAATAATAGTAGATGATCTGAGTAGTTTAGCGGTAATATTGGTTTCCTTAATAACAAATTCATGCGTAGCATAATAGTAACATTGGATTCAACTTTTTTTTATCATTTGGATGCTTTCTAATTTCAAGAATTATTTTTATTCATTGTTTTCATACCTGTCCATTCTTTATCACGGTTATTATTTCTGTTAGGTGTTCACTCAAGATCAAAGTCCTTGGTTCAAGTCCCGTTTGGGGGATCGAGGATGCGCACTTCTGAGGAGTCATATATTAGAATGAAATGGCCGTCCAATGCTTCCAGATTTTTAATGGTAGTTTTAACATTGATCGGTTCATAATTTCAATGTTATTTACTATAAGTCGACTGCCATATGGGGTTCCATTGATCACTCTGTTGGTGGTTCAACTGTTTGAATGGACGCCTAGATGATGAATTTCTTTGTTATATCATGAATAGTAACTAGTAAGCTATATCAAAGGATCCATTGAAAAAAGTTATATGATAATCAAGACTAATTGAGACATTCTTTATCATCAACTAAAGGCAGTAATTGACTGGTGTCCTGAACTTCGGAACTTAGTGAACTTCTAATTTATGCCTATTGACTTCTAGTCTCAGTGAGAACATCAGCATAGAGATGTAGATATGTCCAGCTGTTAAATTCCCAAAAAGAGCAAAGAGCATATTTAAGATTTGATTGTTTCTCACTATTCAGATCTCTAATTTCACCAAATTTAATGACATAAAAATAAGGGGAAATACTTTGTAAATTCACTTGGTGTTGCTAACTTGTATCTTCCAGTTATTATTTAGAACTGCAATTGATCAGTCTCTTGTTGGCATATGTGCATCATGTGAGGATTGCCTCTATATTGCCGCAAGCCTGTTAAGCAAATATGGATAGTCGTTAGTGGTGGAATCCAAGACGCGCGTTTCACCCTATTTGGGATTCGTCAGCTAGATGTACCTGCATCTCGAAATTGATGTCTACTCCGGGACTCGAACTCAGTACCGTTTGCTACAAACTCCATGGCGTTATTCACCTAGTTACTAACTCCTGAAATACTTTCTTCATTCAAAACGTTATTTACGAACAAAAATATCTGTTTAATAAAGAATTGAATTTGTAAACATTCAAACAGATAACGATATTAATATTCATTACCTTGTCAGTTATTGAGTCATTATGTACAAGGAATTTATTTTGTTCATATGGCTTAGGAGTTATAAGACATAATGGATCTGGTTTATGTTCAGTAGTAGAAGTGTTTGTTAAAGGTATACCAATCAGTTTGTCAGCTGCATATTTGAGTATTTGAATTCGTGTCATCTACAATGTAATAACAAAATTAACTATTGAACAAGGTGTAGAAAATCAACGATACAGACAATATAGAATAATGTCATTTGTATTAATATATTGTATTAACAACAATCTTCCTAGATCCATCAAACTAGGAATCCTACAGATGGCTGAATCAATTGCTATACGGATTAAACAGCCAGAACTTTGAATACAAGAGAAGTATGTTCAACCGCTCCTATTACCTTGGCGAACGATCCCGCCCCGCGGGATTCAAACTCAGGATCTATTAGTCTCGTGCTCGAACGCTTATTCTCTAGACCACTGAGCCGGCTGCCATCCAACGGTGTTAATATCTAGCTCCAATCAATCCACGAAATTGAACCACAAATCCATAATTGTCTTCAGTGGGTTACCATCTCACAACAGACCTGCTTGAATTTCATTTGGTCACTGTTTCTCACTAAAACTCAAGGAAATACCTCTTGAAGCCAGTCACTAGTAAGAATATGCAGATTAATATCATATTATTTTATATGACAAACAATCTTTGATTCATGTTATCGATTTTAAATGTACTTCGCCCTAAACCTGATCATCATTTGGATAATTAATTTGGATATGAGATAATTATAGAACCTGATGGGTAATTATTAGGAATATTCTTCACTCACAAAATTGTGTTTTAATATAATGGGAACTTTTCAGTTTATTTATTTAAACGCATAAACGTTGGTACGAGGATGCACCAAATAGATATGCGCCACACAAATCATTCGATTTAAGTTAGAGCTGCGATACTGCCTGGGTTCCCAGACCGAAGCAGGTGGTTTACTTAGAAAGTCACACCCGAAACCTTCTACTTAAAGGTCTAATCCATAAGGGAGTGGAGCATCGTAAGGAGATGCAGTCCCATGGTAGCCGGTGACTAACAGTTGGTCCATACACATGATCCTGTAACGCATGCGCATCATTGATTTGGAATTAGAATTTTCCAAGCTTAATACACCGCCTAGTCGTCAATGTTTATTAAGACAGCAATTTGTGTTAACTAACATTGATGTCTTAATGAAATTTATTGTAGACATAGAATACTGTGTGCAGATTTGAAATTTTTAATATCTGACATAAAGAAAGCATGTTTAACCTGAAAACAATTGATTCTTATTCAATAAGTCAACTATACATGACTCAGTCTGTTAATAAGAGAAAATATTACTGAATTATTGTATTGGTAGGTGTCATGCTTTTAGGGCCCATGATCTGGCTCCAATTAAATCGTATGATTGATTGTTATTGAATGATTGCTATCGAAATATTATATATGTTACCTGGTTATTCTAGTATATAATGATCGACGTAAATTACGTTGATGAATAGCGAAATTAAATAAGTTAAATAAGAGAATGGATTTTCGAATACATATATTTTGTACACTTATTGATCTGGACAGACAATTAAACGGAAGATGCGGATAGAAGAGAGCGAAGCGGAATGATGCGCGGTGAAGAATGCGTGTGAGCCAACTCGATTTAATCAAGCGTTAATCAATATTTATAGTTAGGTAAAAATAAGCCACAGATGTGTGATGAGTAGGATAAGACGTACACACTCACATACGTTCATATAAAAACAGTCAAGGTTGATAAGTGAATAATTAACAAGATCAAAACATGACTCAAGAATAACGGATAAAATTGACCTGTCCCGAAGCTAGAATAAGGTAATATGGGCTTAACGTAGTAACTGACACTACAATGTCTTTCAAGTTTTTAAATGATTTTCTATACAGTAAGAAAGATTACGCATAAAACTTACATCTTTACTGAGTGCTAATATAGTGCGAAGATGATCTAGACGATGATTAATTTTCTTACGTCGTAATCTTTCTGCATCTACCTTCTTTGTTGAAAAGAAGAAAAATTACTGTGGTATATTTATTCATTTAAAAATAATCAATAAAATGAATAAGTAAAGATTTGAAAGGGAAGTTGGATAACAAAAGAGAGAAATAGATGTAATACTATTGTAGTCGAATGGGAACATAAGTGCGCGTCGAGGATCCCGCCTTGGTGAATTCGAACTCTAAGCCTTCGGTCTCGCGCTCGACAGCTTAACCTCTAGATCACTGAGCCGGTATCCAACGGTGTTAATTTCTAACCTGAATTAATTTACGAAATCACGTGATCATCTTCAGTTGTACTGAAGTAGATACCTGGATACATGGATTAGCTTCAATGAACACGACTTCTCACTAGAACTCACTAGAATTCCCTCACGAAGCTAGTCACTAATCAGCATATGGTAATTATCAGTATTAGGTTGTGAATATTGTTAAGTTTTCAATTGAGATCATGAACCGATTACTGTTAGACGATCATTGAAAACCTTACTGTACTAGATGATCGTTTCATCTTATTGCTAGACACCTCAGCAGCACGTTCACACAGGAGATCGGAGGATTTAAGTTCGATTCCCACGACTAACATCGTGGATACACACATTTCAGGAATGCCAAAATAAAACGAAACGATACTCTAATACTTTTGGGTTTTCAATACTAGCCTAACAACATTAATCCGTTCATAATCTGAATCAAAAATTGTTTACAATCTCCACAATATTATCAGAATATAACTTACTTTTTTCTTACGTTCATCCATTATTTCCATTTGTTTTTTTTATTATTATTATTATTATAATCAATGTTATTAATATCCAATCTATCTATCCATGTACAAATGTCATTCCTTCTTATTTGTTTTTGTTGTCGCAGTTGTTCTTCTTTCTTTTTTAAAAAAACGAAACAAAATAAAAAAAGAGAATATTCTCTTTTTATTGATGATTTCACTATTTATAGTTTTCTTTATTGTCTTCACTCGTTTCACGGTTGGTTTCTTAGAATATCATTAATTGATTGATTGATTGATTATAGATTATTCATTAACATACCATGAAAATGATAAATATATCTTAGATGGATCAATCACATTATCCCCCCCCCTTTGAAATTCTATTTGGATTTTTTGTTGTTGTTGTTGTTGATGAATATGATCTTGTAAGAACGACAGCAACAACAATCAAAATGATATTTCGACAATCATGTTTATTCATGTGTAGAATTTTTGGCGTTTTTCATTTTTGTTTTTTTTTTCCATTTTTTTTCTATTCTTTTCTTTCACCTTCCCCCCCACCCCTTTCTCTTTCAAAAAAAAAAATAATTATTTATTTATAATATCTTAATCCTACATTTAATACTTTCAAATGGTTGTTGTTTTTTTAGATCATTCATTTCATCACCATCAAATAGAATGTGAAGATTATTTATTATTTCCAATTTAATGTTTATTGTATAAACACGAGTTGTTTATTATAATGATGATGATGATGGGATGTTTTGATTTGCCACTGGGTTTTTTGTTGTTGTTCTCCTTCTTCATTGTTCCCTTTTTCGAATCGATATTTGTGTTTTTTTGATCATTTTCTGTTTGTTTGTTTGTTTGCTTGAAATTATTGTTTTAGTTGTGGTATATTGTGATTCGAAATCTTTTTTTTTTACTCACATTTATATGCGTACAATATATCTGTGAGTGTGTGTGTGTGTATGTGTGATTGATGCGTCTTTTTGTAAAACAGAACAAATCAATGGTTGAAATCATGAGTAGTCAATGGAAGATAGACCATCATGGAAAACTTAGAAACACTGAACGGTCGTTTTATCCTACTATGAGACTCGTCAAGAGGCGGATGCAGTGTGGTGTGTGCTACTTATATTGAAATAAGTAGTATATGTTGTTAGTCAGGAACAGGTCTGCCAGCAGAGAGACAAGAGGATTGAACAGTAAAGAATGGAAATGCAAGAACAGTGAAGTCTGAGTCATTTTGAGACAATCGATGGACGTTTTTTAAATTAAGCATTTACTTTATGATTGTTAGATTTTATGAACAAGTGCTGTAATTTTGCGTTAACTACATTCGACTGTACCCACCCGTGTTTTGTTCACTACAGCAGGATCTATAGGTCTTATGCACCAGCGCTTAACAACTAGATCACTAAGCCGGCCGGTATCTAACGATGTTAATATCTAACTTCAACCAATCCACGAAATAGAGCGACACATTCACCATTGTCATCAGTGAGCTACTATTTCACAACAGACCTGTTTGAACTCCATTCGGTCACTCCTTCTCACTAGAACTCCAGGAAATACCTCTTGAATCCAATCACTAATGAGCACGAGACTAATAAGTCCTGGGTTTGAGTCTTGTGAGGAGTGATCGCGGGTGAGCACTGCTAAGGAGATCGATACTAGCAAGAAACGGGCGTCCAGTTCTTCAACGTTTCCCATGGTAGTCTAGCTTCAATTGACTGATGATCTCAACCATTGAAATTACTACAATATCCACAAAAACCCTTTCTGATAAAAATGAATCTATTGAAGAAGAAGAAGAAGAAAAACTAACATAAGAAATGAATTGAAATGGCAGAGTTTCACTTAAATAGATAAAAGGAAAACGTGTATGTATGTATGTATAGGTGGGGTGAACAGTTTCTCTACTGGTCTTTCTCATGTCATAACTTCTTTATATTCAATTATTATTATTAATTATCAATTATTATCCTTGAATGCATTCAGATAGAAATCTTCTTTAATATTGATAACGATGATGATTATGATTGTAAGATAATGTGATTATAGGTGGTTGATTAGTTGACAGGTTTTGAAAATTGAATGACAAGAGAAAGGTGTGAAATAAAGAAAGTGATTGGAAAAAAAAAGAGAAAAAACAACGAAGAAGAAGAAGAAAAAGAAGAAAAAGACTCTGATTGATTTCATTTCTTCTTGTCAAATATTTGAGAAATTGAAATAATAATTATAATCTGATTAGAATGTCAAAAAAAAAGATTTAACCAATTTTCTTCTTGTTTATTTTGAAGGAACTCGAGTAAAAAAAAAGAAAAAAACAGCAGCAGCAGCAGCAACAACAACAACAATGGAACATCAAATGTTCTGAATGAATAGTTT